ACGCCCCACTGTAATACACAGGTACTGTTTAAAGAGTGTTTGGGAAACATAGTCAAGCTTATATTCCCATAATTCTCCCAAAGGAGTTTTTTATGTATATGTGGTTGTGTGTGTGTGTGCACGTGCATGCATGTGTGCGTGCGTGTGTGTGTTTGTGCGTAAGATCAGAAAGCCACCTTCCGCATTAAGGTTTTCTTTTTGAAAATCTGAGGGGAAATGAGACTCTGTTTCAATAGACCACCAGAGGCTATTAACCCTCCATAAGTTAGCAAAAAGTTTTGCCATTTACTTTCCTTGAAAAAGCAAGCTGACATCTGTTTCACTGAGAAAATAGGTTTTAACACCAAGTTGGGGTGGGGGAAACTATGGGAAATAGAATGAGAAGGACCCAAAAGATCAGGAATAAATCTAGCCAGAGAGAGGAACTAAAGAGGTGAAAAATAGGATCCTGCCTCTTGTTTCAAAACCATGTTTGGGCCTGGCTTTTCCTTGGGGAAAAAGTAGGATCTCAGTGGAACCCCAGGAAACCTCACCCTCTCCAAAGGAAGCCAAGTCCCCTGGCTGCCTCTCAATTCTAGTTCAGCTGTTTGCTCATTAGGTGTGGTCTGGAGTTGAGTGTTAATACTGATGTCTAACTTCTTGTTTCAAGAATGGATAGGATAAGCTATTGGAAGAACTATATAAATCACCTACTAAGCTAACCAGTTATAAAAAGGACTTGGTAAACAGGAGGTGTTACTCAATTGCTGTCAATAATAAAACAGCATCAGGGGCTCAGTAAGTGTTAAAACACCCTCTTCTCCCTGTGTCCTCCTTGCCCCTTTCTTTCTTCTTCATCATATAACCTGAGTCCCCAAACTCAGGCCTCCGGGCAGTGACTGGTAGGAATGCAATTTCCACAATTTGTGGCCTCAGGTTGGAGGACAGGGATGTCTCATTCCTTAGTTGATAGGACAGGGACATGTTGAAAGTTCTAAATAACTGACAATATTTGAAATGAGAGTACATTTCTATGAAAGGGACTACATTTACAATGGTTCGCAAATTCCTCTATGAAGAGTTTTTCAATGAACACATCTATGACAGCCTGCCTCCAGATTCCTCCACTAGTTCTTTAATTCCTTGGGTGGGTATGCTGGCTTGAGGTTTTGTTTGGTCTTAGCTCCTGTATAAACACTAACTGGTACTGACTAACAGGATGGCATCTCTCTCTGTTCCCCTGCTTTTTATTTGGTGGTACTAAGGATTGATCTCAGGGCCTTCTCACTGATCGATATCACCAGACCTTTAAAAATTTTTTTGCAACTCAGTCTTACTAAATTTGCCAATCTAGGCTCACATCTGACATCCTCCTGTCTCAGCCTCTCAAGAGTGCTGGGATTATAGGCAAGTACTGCCACATCTGCCAGATGTCAGAAATTTAGCTCCCTCAGTGTTTCTGATCAGGTCACTGCAGGAGAACAATCCCAGGTCCTCATGACTTTACTTGAAGCACAAAGATAGGAACCATGTACTAAGGACATTTAAATAAAAATTGAACTCTCTCTAGGACTTTCATGTTTGTACAGAACTCAATAGAAGATAAGTCTACTTCTGATTCACAACTAACTTCTTTTTGAAGTTGCTGGTCTCCCCGAGATCTGAGTTTCATCCAGGTTTTAAGCACAGAATATATCATCAGTGATTCCCAACTTTAGGTTTATAAAACCCCGGTGTTCCTCTGATAACCTTAAGATTTCTTATTTTTCAAAATAAAATAAAAATTTAATTCTTTCCTTAAGAAAAATATATTTACGTAAGTATAGGTGTAAATAAAGCATATTTTTAAGTGGATGTATAGTCCCCAAGGAATTAAGCCACAATGACCAGTTGGGTGTTAAAACTCTGAAAAGATGGGAAATCACTGACCTGGATTATCCCTGGAAGCCAGAAAGGAAAATAAAATAGTTCAGATTCTAAGCCAGTTCAAACTTTGCCTCTGTCCACACAACATATTTGCTGTTGGCCACTGACAAGGAGAACACAGCTGCCCATGCAACAGAATGTGTTTGTAGAAGCCCACGTAGCCCCTACACTCTCCCCACCCAGCGTGTCTTTTTCACACAACAGTGTTCTCCCTCCAACTCCATCATCTGTACCTATGCTACATTTTATATCAGATTTTAAAACATCAATATATAGAAATAATTACAATAGAGGTTGAAAACATAATCTGCTATTTTCTCCTAGACTATAATTAGCAGACTAATAACATACTTTAAAGAAACTATGTAGGTTCTTTTCTTTGACTAAGTTATTTTTAGTTATTTTATTTCATGGCAGCTAGTAATTCAGAGGTTTAAAAGTAGTAATCCCGAGTAACCTGAGGCCTACCTAGTGAAAAGGAATGAAGCCTTAACATACTTTACAGCAGTATACATTCTCGGCAGTTTTAAATACTAAACATTTCAGCATCATCCTTGAAAGAAACCAAAAGACTCACAACCCTTTTTCTCTAAATCTTTCCTGACAAAAACTTTATGTTAAAGTCCTCAAATGTTTGTTGAAAGGAACTGAGCTATTAGACAGTGATGAAATAATGGTATTTTACATATTCGTGTCACTTATGAAATATTTCATTACAATTCCAGGAAATTTTTCAAATTTTTCCTGCAAAAAGAGCTAACACTGGGCTTAGCAAGTCCCTCCTCCCACTGCTTTGTCTATTTTGCATGGAAATGACAGCCTCTGCTATTACGGTAATTTCAGTTATTGTGCAGAAATCCAAGCACCAGCACAAAAGGGGAACAGCACTAAACACGTATTTCCAGTAGCCACAGACCGCTACGCTGAGCTACCCACCTTCCACTGCAAGGTGAGTGAACTTTTGCTCCTGTGGGCCAGCTTAGGAGGGAACGGGCACTCGGGTGCACAGCTGTGCGTGGTGAAGCTAACTGGCTCGGAGCACGATCCCTTCACCGAATTGTACATGGCATACACCCTGAAAACAAAACACAGGGACACAGTCAGTGACAGCAGCTCAACACCAAAGGCCGGGCTTCTTAACTTCAGTTGGTCCTGAGCTTTCCCAGACAAAGAGAATCCTTCCAAATGGAACATGATCCCATTCTCACCTGCTGACCTTGTGTGGATCTAGCCACTGTCAGAAACTACATGAGACAACCACCCGGTTAAGGCATTTATCTCAATGTGCTCCACTCAGCCTCTCTGTAAGATGGGAGGGTCTACTGGATGGAAAAGAATACTCTAAAAATACAACCTAAGTCAAAATGGTCTTCAAATACAAGCTACTTGCCAGGCGTGGAGGTGCACACTCATACTCCCAGCACTTGGAAGGCTGAGGCAGAAGAATCCCTGGGATTCAAGGGCAGCCGGGGCCACAAAGTGAGTTCAAGGCTAGCCTGAACTAAATAGTGAAACTCAGTCACAAAAAAAGACAAAAGACAAAAGAAAACAATACCACAAGCTACTCTACAGTTGACTTTTTTCAACAAAAGTGAGGAGCAGAGTTAACAGGTGAAAAGGAGTAAAAATATGGTGATCACAGTCTCTAGGTGGCCAAAAAGTACTCAAGAACAGAGGGTAGATGTCACTTCTGGCTATTAAGAACACCGCACGTATTTAGGCAAAAGTATGCTGCTAAGTTTGTTTCTGATTCAAGAAAAACTGTATTTAGGTACAGTTTCTCCATGTGAATATTTAACCCTTACAGAGAGTGCCAAGACTAAAGAGGGCTATTCTGCACTTTAAAACGCTTGTCTCTACACTCAACATAGTGTGCCTGATTTCTCCAGTGAAACTGCAGAAATATGTACTATGCTTTTATAATACACTTTTCATATTGCATATAGCATTATGTTGATTTTTATCATCTTCCTTTCCATTTCCCTTTTTTATATACAGTATATAATTGTCTTTTTAAATTAAATTGTCTTTTTAAATTAATTTTAATTGTCTTTTTAAATTAAAAACAATCTTTTTAAAAGAGAACAAAGAAGGCCTTGCTATTTATTAAAAGATGCACTGATTAAACTATTCGAAATTGGTAAATGTGTATCAGACCCTTAACCATTCTAACCATGTTCTCTACTGCAGGGAATTCAGACTGAGTGGTAAACTTCTAAAAGCACACAGTCAGAAAGCTGGGCAACTTACGTGTTTTATGATACGATATTGTATCATTTAATACAAACAAATAATACTTGTTAGAATGCTTTCCACTCAACTTCTGATGTAGAAAATGCTCCTTGTTGTTCAGTCTAAGGAGGCATGTGGTAACAGGAAGTCCAATGGTGGATCTGGCAAGATCATTTCCTTGTGTCAGTAAGGGCTCACTAGGGGTAGCTACTTCAAATGAATTACAGAATGCTCCAGTCTGATTTCTAGTAGATCAGCACTCTCCAACTGGTGGCATCTTAGCCGAGATACATGTGTATTAGGGGAGAAAAACATTCTCTTTAACCACCAGAGCCACTTATGCACTTTAGAATATAGGGAATGATCACAGAAAGAGACCACATCACAGACTGTGGCATCACCTGAAACACTGTCGTGTCAGAAAAGCTGAATCTGGGTCTGATTAAGCCTCTTTACCATTTTCCAGGAAGCACAGAGGACTGGGGAACTTAAGCAACACAATGAGGGGCCCGTTAGTCAAAGTGACATTTGGAAAACTCTACAAAAAAAAAAGTACTCCAAAAAATAGTTTAGAGAAAAAGAGAGATGGAGGGAGAGAATGCTAGACTAAAAGAAATTTAAGGCATATCAACCAAATTGGATATTCAGACCACGTTTTGTGACGAATCATCACAAAAATCTAAACCAAATCTTCATTTTTCAGGACAAGTAAGGAAAAAATAGTCTCTAAATTTTGGAGATATTAAAGAATTACTATTGTTTGTTTGCTTGGGGTGCGCATATGATAATGGTAATGTGACATATAGGTGAGATAATGAAGAATCTGAATTTCGTTTTTTGTTTTTTTTTATATTGGTACCGGGGATCGAACTCACGACCACCTGCTTGCAAGGCAGGTGCTTATGCCACTGAGCTAAAACCTCAGCCCTGAAGAATCTGAATTTCAAAATGAGTGGAATGGCACTAGATGAGGATACTGAGGTAACAGAAGTTGAGTGATGGCTACACAAGAGTTCATGAAACTCTACTTTTGAGGGTATCGGAAATTTTCTTAAATAAAAAAAAATGTAAAAGTACAAATTAAGCCTACACTGAAAAGTATCTTGAGATTGCTCATAAAAAGTCCAATCTCTAGCTTCTTTTAAAAGTTGAAAAGTTTCACTTTCTCCACTAGAACAGCACTCAGCTGGCTTTTACCCATTTTGCCCACTTAGGTTTCCTGTCTCAAGCCAGCAGTACCTCTGATTATACACCTGAGCATTTCACTACAAACGAGGAACTACGTGGGCAGACCAGGTCCTGAATGTTTGGAGAAATGGCTGAAACCCAAAAATCCATCGGGATGACAGAACGGACAACAGCTTCCAAGGTACTATCAGACCATGTTTAGTTATATGTGGGGAAGGAAATTTGGAATCAGTCAAATTCTCTGTTTCTTTTTTAACAGGATTCTTGGAGTCAGAAAGCCATACCTCGTACGTCAGAGAATCATATCTGACTGTCAGACTGGGAGGATGGCAGTAAGAAAAACCAAAAAGAAACTGAAGGCAGAAGAAAAACTGAGGTAGACACATGGACCAGATGAAAACATCATCCTTGTTAACTCTGAAGAAAATTAAAGTTTATGTGGATGTAGATCAGCGGTACAGTGTGTGCCTAGCACTTATGAGGCCCTGGGTCAGTCTCCAGCACACACATGACATACATACAAAAAGAAAAACAATAGGAAGAAGAAGTGTTACTGTTTGTTTAAACTTTTCACACAAAGAAGTTGGTCAACAAGGGAAATAAAATCTATTTTTATGTGGCAAAATAAATGTGCTGCATCCAGTAGAATTTGACACAATATCTAAAATTATCATGATTACCTGTTAGTTAAAATTGTTCAGTAAACAGATAGCAGCTAATTTTAAACAGCTGCAATTTGATCATTAAGGTTTGCTCCTTTTTGTTCCATGCCCAGTACAATACACCAACATCTTATTAAAAAGGTGAATGATAGACTCAAAATAAACCCAAATACAAAGAACTTGCAACATTAAGTGCTTTTACTTTCAGTGTGAAAAAACTGCAATTGTCTTAGAAAAACACAACAAAAATATTAAGACAGTATTCTCAGGTTGTAATAGTTTGTATATATATTTCACTTGCAGAAACACCATCCTTCTGAGATGCTGTCATTATCATCTCCACTTTACACACGTGAGAACAAGGCAAAAGAAGTCCCGTGGCTTGTTATGCACAAGCCCTTGGTAAGAGACAGAACCGGTAAATCCAAGTTCCGGCTTTGTTCATGAGGCATCAGACTGCCTCACTTACACAATGCATGGCAGAGAAAGCTAACCCTAAGTAAGAGTAGGAAATGTTAGGGTTCTTGTACAGCTTGGAAAAGAAAAAACTATAGAGGAAAGAGAGTAACTGATCTGTGTGAGACCAGGCAGCACAAAAAAGAAGAAAATGTGAACTAGACATTTTTATCAGAGGAATTGTTTTAAATACTGAGTAGACCATCATCAAGGGCAGGACAAAAAATTTGCTTCTGTGGCAAGCAGAGAGTTAGACCAAATAATGTACAGGCGGTATACTGTAGGCTGTGGACAAGTGTGGTATCACATACGTGCCACATCCACAGAGGCAGAGGCCCACACAGAGCAGGTCACAGTCTACAGCAGGCCCTGGACAGCAGCCACTCCACACTCCCATTTCTTCTGGAGAATCTATTCACAATGCCTTTTACCTGTCTGGAACATCTGCCAAATGTTCACAGGACACAACATTAGAGAGAACTTACAATCAAATTTTCTCAAAATTTATTCTTTGTAAGATGGGTGAAAAGAAACCAAGAAAAACAAAGCACGGGTTAGAAAACAAAGGGTAGACACCTTCATGACATGTAAGTTTCTTAAAAAGGATATTGTAAGTTCATGAATGAATAGGAAATTAATAAAATAAACCTTTAGTAAAGCAGTAACAATAAACTGCTAAAACATGGAGAAGAAAAAACACAAGCTAACAATGAATAATGAATAACTTTTAGATGACTCCTTATATGGTGTCACATTTGCTGGTTTGTTGTTAAACTGACCATTTTAAACAACACTTGAACCATTTCTATTATCTTTGCTTCACAAATTACAAAAATCATCTTGTTTATACAGACTGTGTTGAGTTCAATATGTTTGGACAGAAGCTAATTGACTCAAAATCCTAAAGTTTTGATTTAAACAGGAAGAGATGGTTGCAATAGAGTTCATCTAAACAATATGATAGCTAAACAGATGTGTACTTTATTACAATATAACACAACTTGTTCTTTTATATATTTCTCTGCAATTAGTTTTAAAACACTTATGCAGCCAGTAAGATATCACATCCTCAATTCATCCCTGTATTCTTCCTTTTCCTAATGAGGAAACTGTGGTACAGAATTTCTATGTTAAAAAAAAAAAAAAGAACTTGTATGTAACTTAAAAGTTTAAATAGCCAATTTATGGCAGAAGTGAAGGAAAACTCAAGCCTCCTGATAATTATTTTTCCTTCTAGCCTGCTTTGTCCTACTCCCTTACAAGGCAATGAATTATCCCTAGAAAGTAGGAAAGTATCCTTAAAATTGTAATTTCATTACACAATTTATGTATGCAAATAACATTTTGTATGTCTTTAGATAAAATTGTATTTTTGATGAATTTAAAATTTAAACAAAATAAAAATTTAAATAGCATTTAAAATGTTATGGATACATTCAGAAAGCTGCTCATTTGCAAATGAAGGGGAATATGTACTATTAAATAATCAGATGTGGTCTGTAGAAATTCAGATAATCCCTTTTCACAGGTTGGTGCTTGGTTAGGTTTCTTGCTAAGATAATCTAGCACTGCCTTCCAGAGTAGCTATAGCAAGGACTCCAGAAAAATCACAGTTGAGATTTCAGCTTACACGGGTGATAATGTCAAACTGGGTAAGTTCTTTCCAGAGATAATATGATCTCTACATTACTTCCCTATTTCAAATTCTACTGGCTTTTAAAGTCCAAAAGTGCTCTTGCTTCTTCACTGAGTCTGAAGATTAATTTATAGGTGTCATCTATATATAGTAAACAACTGATACATCCACGGTAAAAAAAATACACTACTCTTATAGCAAGAAAATATCAGAAAGTATGTTAGACTACACAGTTCAACTGCTCTTATAAGACTTTTAAGAATAATGTTAAAGGGCTGGGGATTTAGCTCAGTGGCATAAGCGCCTGCCTTGCAAGCAGGCAGTCATGAGTTTGATCCCTGGTACCGATAAAAAGGAGAAAGACAAAAAAAAAAAAAAAAAAAAAAAAAAGAATAATGTTAAAAACTGCCCAGCGCATCACTAACTTTTCTGTCGACAGAAATATATCTATGTCCTCCTAGTCACCATGCTGTGTAGTGCAGAATACAAATGAATGGCCAAAACTATCAACTAAGAAACTGTTATTCACCAAAGCTCATGAAAGGGGGCAAATGATTTACTTTAACAGTCTGGACTCTCCAGTGCAGTTCAGCTCTTGTGTCTTAACTCACCTCACATGATAATCGGTTGCTGGTCTAAGGTCTTTCAGGTTACATTCCAATTCTTCACCACTGTAAAGAAAAATCATGTGCTAGTTAATACCAGTTTCAACTGTAAAACAGATTTTGCATTTGAGATTCATAGTCATGTACTGACAACAACACAAGAACTACTATGAGTGATGCCACCATAAAACCAGAAATATACGTTATCATTATCATTATTATTCTGGACTAGAAAATCAGATTTCTTGTATTCATATCATTCTAGATTTGGGAAATGATACAGTTCACTTAACATTCCACAACATCCTATCACTTCTTGAAAGTAACACACAAGAGTAAGCAGTAAGGAAACACACAATGACTGCACCAGCTGTCTGGCAAAGGCACCCCGGGGACCCACGGCAGGACCCTCCACCCCTCAGCTCTGGACTCTTAACAGGACCTGATCCTGCTTCACTCACATATCAATGCACCCAAGAACAGCTCTCGAATAGAAAATAAAACTATTTATATGACCCAAAGGTTCAAATGAACCTCGACTTATGGTGAAATACAAAGCAACAAATTTCCATTAAAATTTTGCAAAAAGTAGAGTGAAATAGAGGCAGAAATGTGTATGTGGGTGTGACTTGTTTACTATTCTTCCAAACTGTTGTCATCATAAAAGATAAAAAAATACTGTGCAAGTGTCCCAAATTAAAGAAGGCTAAAGACAGCTAAGTGCATTGTGTGATCATAGACTGGATCCTTCTTAAAGGGAAGAAAAGTGTTATCGCATTTTTTTTCAAAATGACGAATATTACTCAATCAGCTGACAAAGTGGAATATGGACGATGGATGAAAGCACTGAATCTATGCATTTTTATGAAGTCCATGATTGCACTGTGATTAAGAAAATACCCTTATTCTGAGGAAATACACTGACATATTTAGTATCAAAGGACTGTGGTATGTAAAACTTGTGGAAAAAAATCACGAGTAGAAAAGAAAAAAGAAACAAAGAACAGCTTTAGTGGTGAAGCAAACCAGAGAAAAAGTCAGTACGGAATCCGTGTGAAGTACACCTATATACCGCGCTCTATATATGCACAATGTTTTACAAGTTTATTTTTCTTCCACATAAAAATTTTTTCAATTGTAAACTGAAGCTATATCCATACTTTGACTACTGCTGTGCTGTTTCACAGCACTGTACCTTTAAAATATTTCACATTTGCTCAATTAGTTTAATATGGGGAAGTTATTAGTTCATATTTTCAGCATTTCTTGGAAAAACCCCAGGCCATGGGGGTCTTCAGCAAATCCAGGCAACGACTGAGGTTAAGTAGCAAGAGACAAGAACTCTCATTCCTTATCTTGCAAATAGAACTCTCATTTCTATTACCTCCTTGCTCTAGAGGGCACCTGAGACTCTAGCTCCAGTCACCAGTGTTCATCTTGCACTAGCAGAGTCTATCCAGCCAGGAATGAAGGACTGGCCCAGCTACTGGGGAGGGTGAGGTGGGAGGATGGTTTCTTGGTACAGTACAGGAACAGCTCCCTGTACTTCTGATTTTTTTTCCACAATAGAACCAAACAGTTGTGAGTGTGCACGTGGAGGCAGGATTTTAATCAAAGAGCAGTGGGGCGTAAACAGAGCACCCTCTGCAAGGGAGTGACATGGCTGGCGTGGTTCTGCAGCATGGAGGCTGAGTGGTGCAGGTGGTGGTAGAGGACGAGTGGATACTGTGTGACCCAGAAGACACTACGGGGGTCCAGCAAAGGGGTAACAGCAGAACAGGAGGCAAGAGGGAAAGAGCAGCTAAAGGGGCTCCTTCCTGGCCTGCTTCTCCATCTGTCCTCAAGAAGACCCACTGGGCAGCAAGTTACGAAGCAGGACAGGAAGGGGAAGACACAGCCTGAAGCACTGATGTGCAGGGAAAGTGGGAGGAAACAAAAACCTCTGGCCGAGGACGAAGTGGCCTTTGTGTGACCACATCACCCTGCCGTGGCAGGCCGTCGAGGGCCCACTCACAGGGAAGGCAAACAAGTAGTTAAAGCAACACTGGTTTTCTGGTTTCCTGCTCTGCAAATGTGACCAGTGCTAAGCAATT